AACAGAAGCTCTGACATTTTTCTTCCGGTCGACTGTCACTAATCACACTGTAACTCTTGATGAAGAAAGATACTACCTTGCAATTTTTATATATTGTGCAAAAACTGTACCTTAAAAAATGTATTTTTTCTTTAAAAAAATTAAAATTGCCGTTTCTTAAAAAAAAACAATTTGAATTTTCGTTTTTAAATTAATTTAAAATAGAATTTGTTAGAATAAACATTCCACCACCCTTCTGAATCTGCAGAAAGAAGGCTTTCAAACAAAGTAAAAATAAAGAAAATCCTTTGCAAACAGCAAAAACTAAAAGTTCTTAAAGGTGACTATTTCACGGTGAACTGCATTTTTTCTCGCAGATGAGAACGGTTTAACTTTATTCCCAGTGCCTTTCTGAGGTAAACCCTTTCGATTTCAAAATCCGGTATCCAATGTTATTGGTGGACAAAAAATGAAAAAAAAACTGAGAGATCAAGGCACAAAAGTGTGCGACTTCTCGTAGAATGGCCCATATTTATATATACTGCAACCGTAAAAGCTACAATTAAAGAATATTAGATTACCTGAACAGGGGGTAATAAGTTACATGTGTCCGCTAAATGCAATCGTTTCGCAACTGCAAGACGGTCGTTGGGTCTATTCTCTAGAAGAACCTGTCGATGACCGGAATTTTTTTGAAGATAGTTAGCCCTAAACCATGACATGAGAATTGGGAACGTGATGTCAGCAATGTCCACTTAAAGCCAAGTTGGTTCATTACAGCATTACCCGGGATGAAGCCCTGGTCCATTCCTTATAGCTTTTCGTAATAAGGCGATATTAAAAGCATTAGCCGGCTCAGCAAACGTCAGTTTCCTAGCAAAAATCTCAGGAACCCCAATTTCATCAACGTCGAGATAGGGATCTGGAGTAATTACTGATCGGCAAGCGTAATTTACACGTTTTCCCATCATATTCATGCGAAATAAACCCTAAAAATAGAAAGAACCGAATACAATCATAGCAAGTTGACTCCAGTAAGATTAAAAAAATGATTAAAATTTTTGCCCTCAGACTACTACCTGCTTTTTTTCTAAAATCTGCCTCAATCCCGGAACCACATTTCTTTGATCTGAAGATCTATCTAGATCCTGATCAAATATTGCATTCATTCGTTGCTGTAGTGCGAGATAAGCATTATGCATTCTTTCAGGCATCGTTTTACCAGGGACACGAGTAGCGATTAGCTCCTGCAACGGACATGCAGTTAAATCCAATTTGCGCCAAAAAGAATAAAAAACAATAGCATAATAGTTGCTAAAATCAAATAAAAAAAAAAAAGAAAAGCTGCGTAGACAGTGGTGATAAAAAAGAATGTGGAGAAATACTTTACAACTTAGCAAAACAAGCTAGACTGCTTTATAATTTGTAAACTTCAGTTGTCTCGAAGCATTAAAAAAGCGCGTATAATGTAACAACAAAAAAATCTCATTTTCGTCCTAAAAATTCAAGGACCATTTGAATTCAAAACTGCACGCTTTCGTCGCGTGAAAAAATTTATTTAGTTGTCAAAGAAGAGGTAAAATAGATGGACTTCAAACTCTCTATCTAATAAACAGTGACACAAGTCAAAAACCTTCTAGCAATAAAACAGACGAAGACAATCTCTGCTATACTAGAGGTAGCGGAAACCCGAAAACAAGCCAGTAATTACTCAGAAAACTGTGGTGTGCAAAAGCTAAAACAACCAACGCAGCTTTCCCTTTTCATTCTCCTATATTTCCAAAATGACCGTAAAATAATCCGTATCCATCAGACAGGTCTCTAATTTACGCCACCTCAACTACCCGTCTAAACTTTCAGGTAAGCCTGCTTTCAGAAGTGAGTATTTGACGGCTACTGATGACACTATCTGGCCAACCCTCTACTCGTGATAAAATTCCTCAAGGAGGTAAGACTTGAAGTGATGTGATGGATTTTTACTGTAATGAAATTTTGAAATTTAAAGAGAAAAAAAAAAATATTCTCATCTACACAACTCCTAAATTGCTTGCATCTTCTCAAGTTGTCTACTAATGCCATGTTCTCTCTAACAGAAACAAATCTGCTAGGAAAATTACTGAAATTACTCCACTTAAAACCAACTTTTCTGGAAGCAAGCATATCTTGCGTAACATTCCAGTAACAAAATAACTTGAAATCTCGAAATTGATCACGTCGGAAATTTCAACATATTTCCATGCTAGGTAAAAATTTGAACGTTTGCCAGTTACTTACAAGCAATTTAGAATCATTATTCCCAGATACAGCTAATCGGACAGCCCGAAACGTTTCTGTAGCCTCAAGAAGTCGCTTTAGATTGACAGTCTGGGGATGATGGAACTCAGAACCCTTGAAAAACCGAATCGGCCTAAACTTGTTTGGTGGTACCAATACGGTTTCACAAAACAGGACATCCAATGGACAGCAACCATACCCCTGGGTAAGTAGTTTAGTTAACAGTAAGTTCAAAACCCAAAGTTACAAACAGGTGGAACTTCTTTTATAAAAACTTGCTTCACAACTGAACAAGGGATAAATCTCCCTCAACAAAACCCCGTCATTCTTCCAGAGTGCACGAAAATGTTCTCGCATCTCAAAAGCTCTCCATGCAAGCTTGTTAGACAAATTATTTTCAACTGACAACAGCTGTTTCTCTACCACCATTTCAGCTGGTTCATCCAACAGGCTCCGGTAACACTCTTTTTCAGCCGTGTTCTTCACATCCTTCTTCTCATCTAGAAAAATCAATAGCGAACTTAATGAACGATTGAGGAAAGAAATCAGATGTCTAAAAGGAAAAAGGCCATTTGACAGTATTCAGCATAATTTTGCATTACCGTGTTCACTTGCATCATCCTGTTTGCCAATTTCATCTGTGGATTCCAATTTAAACAAGCCTCTCACTTTTGATGGCCTGTTAGTTGAACTACCAAAATCTAGCAAAACACAGCAATCTTTGTCATTAAAAATCATCCCATTGTTTCGTCTACAGTGCGGACACCTTTTAACATGTTTAAACTGCAAAAAAAATGCTGAACAGCTTATTCAAACTCAAAAATCTCTGAATTCTGGAGCTGAAAAACCAGTAAATGACTATTTAAAAGCTTTTTCGCTTTCCTCACTCTGCTTCTTATTCCTTTTTATTAACGAGAAGCCTATGATAAATTACTTGATTCTTCTCATTCCGTTCCACTTAATCTCATGTTATAAAAATTTCAATTTTCTTGAGATACCATTGCACATAAAAACAAACTTAAATTCCCTTTACAATTCAAGTAAACCTATACCAAAATAAAATAAAAGGAAAATTTACACGTTAAGCTTTCTTAAAAACTCTGAATTAATAAAGGAGACAAAGAAACATACCAAAAAAGAAGAACAAAATTCCCGTACAATACTTATTTTCAATTCCAAAGCATTCTTAGAAAGACAAACACAACGCTGGTCTCCACTCTGATTTTTATAAAGCTCATCCAAATGTTTGTTCAACTCAATAAGTGCTTCTGTTTCATCGCTCTCCGAAATCCCAAAAATATTTGGATCTAAACGATTACAAAACAATAAAACACGAAGAAATCCGCCATTAAGCAATACCCTTAAAAAAAGCACAAGGCTTAAAAATGTAAAATGATAGAATCTAACAAAGAAAATTTCATCTCGACAACCCTACACTAAATTTTAGAAGCAGCAACAACGACTGTATATAAAATTTTCGAACACTCTTGCACCCGCTCCATGGTGACATATATTAGGCTCAACAAGCGCCTTGAAAACTTCATTTGCCGACAAACCGATTCTGTAGTGAACCACAGTGTGATACCAACTAGCACTTAACTTGACTTCGTATACCAAAAATCCTCTGCTACTTTTGAAAACGAGGGTGTTTTTCAAAGGAAGAATGTGATAGAGGCAGCCCGATCAAAGTGAATGTCACGATTTTTGCTAAGAAGATTACTTAAATACACGAAATGCACACAGTTCCAAGCTGTCTTATAGCTAAATACACATCTGCATGTGCATACGGCTGATAAAACAAATTTTAAAGAAAATCTACTGAGTCGACTTGTTACCAGAACTTATTTTTTTATATGGCTTCCATGCCAAACTGTGCACCAGCAAAACTAATTGGTGTAAAAAATTAAGAAAAATCCAAAAATAATATCACAAATGAAAAACGAATTCACTGATTACCATTCATTTTGCGTAATGTCGACACCCTCTTGAGTCTCTCTTCAACAAATCCTTTAAGCTCTTCAGCCACTGTTATGAATCCCATATTGATGGCTCGGATCTGTGCCATCAAAAGCTTTGACGCTATTCCATCAGTCCGACATGTTAAGCGATGGCAATGAACGCAAGAGCCTTTCATCAGCTAAAAAATTCGCGAGTAAAAAAGCGAAAAAAGCAAAAAGTTTATCGAAAAGCAAAAACAAACCGCATAAGCGAAGCGATAAAACAAAGGGTTGAAAACCGGCACATCAAGCTTTATGTGACCCATGTGCCCAGGACAGAACGCACCCTGCAGATGACACGTTTCACAAACATCGTTCAGTTCGGTTGGACCTAACCGAGGGTCGCACAAACCATCCCGTAATGCGTGACCTACCTTAAAAAAAAGCGATCCACTTGAAATAAACTTTTTCACTGCAGTAAACCACAAACGAAAACCTCTAAAATTCAGTAACGCTTAGAAAGAGAGGCTTACATTGTCATGAGATTCAATTTGAGTAATTTGCAAAACGCTTAATTTTTCTACTTCCTCCGTCGAATAAGTTCGCATTTGCATTTTACTCAAATACGCATAAGGTTCTAACCCATTCAAGAATTTTGTCGGAGTCACCATCCTTAAAAAGTCAACAGATTACCAATTTGCCAATTCTCGTAACGACTGACAGTTGAAGAAAACACGTAAACAAAACGTCTAAAAATGCCTGAACTGCCAAATGCCCAATTAAATCAACTTTCAATTGATAAAACCAAATTCTCTCACCAAAAACTTTATTGAATCCCATCCTTCCCACGCTAAAAAACCACTACTTTATAAGCTATCCTGCCCCCACCTTATTGCCAAAGTCAATTCCCTTTTCAATATGAAAAATTCAGCCCTGCCAGAAAAATTCCAACTTCCTTAACGGAGGCAGGTCAATGTCAAAACTACGCTGTTATCCCACAGTGGTTTTAAAGTATCCAGGATGCTCGTTTTGGAAAAACTTCACATTCATCAGAATGTTGTAAAACGAGCCACTCAACTATGCGGGCCCAATTTAGGGAGTCAGGTACTTCTTTCTTCTCTTTAAGTTGCGCAGCATATATACTGCAAAAACCGTATTTCATAAGCCAACTAATGCGAAAAGCCTATTACACTGGCGTTTTGATTTCCGGATTATCTTTACGACTCGCAGTAGCGAAAAGCGAATGAGTTGGACAAATTCCAGCACTTCACTACTGAGTATATTACTTCTGTAAATAAACTTAATTTTGAGAAAGCTGGAATTTCCGCCTAATTTGATTTTTTTTTTCTCACTTCCAGCAGCTCATGCGGTCTTTATGCTTACTTTATGTTTTTGGTTGCGAGCAAAACGGTTAGTTGTAACATTATGAGGCAATTTGGGAACTATCAGTTATTTTTCTTTTTTTTTTT